CTCTCTTCTCTGTCCCTCTCGTCTCTCCCCCTCATTTCCCCCTTTCTATCTCTCCCCTCACTTTCTTGCCTTATCTTTCTTTCTCTTCTTTCTCCCCTTTTCTCTCTTCTCATTCTCTCCAACTCTCTCTTCCAGTCTCCATCTTTTCCTCTCTCTCTGCCTTCTCACTTTTCTTTTTTCTGTATCTTTACCTTTCTCTGTCTCTCTATCTCAGTCTCCCTTCCCTTCTTCTCTTCCTCTCCTTCACTTCCTCAAAAAAAGTATTTAGAAACATCATGCCTCTTCATGAACCCCAAATATCAAATGTTATGTCTCATCATTTCCTCAGGAGAGAAACCCTAGAAATTAAGTTTGCTTTGAAGCCAACATATATCATAGAGCAGCTTATCATTGTGTTTATGTTCAGGGGAAAATGAAACAGTTTCCTCAGCTCCTCTCCTATTCTCTGATTTGCAGGTAACTGATTAAATTTAAGAAAATATCATATCCTTAAAAATACTCTAGCAAAGAATTGTGTTCTAAGCTGGTGGGCAAGCAACATTAGTATGCACAATCCAAGTAGATAGTTGAGACAAAAAAAAATATCAATTTTTGCTTGTATGTCAGTTTCCTTCTTTGTGCATTATTTGAATGATTACAACAGTCTTGTTTCACTTGACTGTTGGGCACACAACCTAAATGCCAACTGTAGACTTTCTCCTACTTGATAAAGTTCTCTATCTGTCCAGTTTGGATCTTTTACATCTGCTCAGTTACTAGGAAGAAAATACCCCAGTTTGATCAAATAAAACTTATTCAAAGGGCCCAACATCAGTTTGGGAAGTTGTTTCTTCCCAAAGAATTCTTTAGTAAATTGTCCCTAGGTTCAATGAGAAGTGAGAATTAGTACATTTTAGTTTAAAGGTGAGAGTTAATTTCAGTTAATCTTATAAGAAGCCAAAATTAGATTGTATTTATTCTCCATCAATATCTACACAACCATGAATTAGAACCCAGAACTATGCACACAAAGTCCATGCTCAATAAATTTTTATCTACTAAAAATGCCTTCAAACCCACATCTTATCTGTAGCTTAACTTCCAAAAGTCATGCTGTCAAGTCTATCAGGAAATGGAATCTGCCTGTCTAAACCTTTTTTAAAATTTTATTTTATTTTTTAATTTATGGAATAAAACAAACATTTCCATAATATAGTATAATAAAAAAAGATGGTTGCACATGAAACTCCAAATCTATTATGTACACCTTTACAAGTGGTAAATCTTAGCATCCTGGGAAATATTTATATTCACTTTTTGCATATTTAGTTTCATTTGGAGCAGAACAGAGGTTTCATATTTGTAATTTTAAGACTCTCTGAACACGATGAAGCCTAGCATTAACTGGCTTTAGAGCCCAAAACACTGGGATCTAAGTCCCACCTCAGAGACACATTGAGTTGAGTGACCCTGGCAAATTCACTCAGCCTCTTAGTGCTCTACACAATTTTCTAAGACTATAAATTGCAGAGAAAGTATCACTTTGTATTTAGAGGGAGTTTCTTTATCTGGGAGTTCACTATATGAATGAAATGACCGGTCCAGTATGCAGGTCCAAGGTCCTTTTTTTGTCTTCTAATTTTAAGAATTTCTGGATTACTGGATGTCAAAAGGATGATATTCATCACCAAGAGTACCCAAGGTTTTCATCATGTAGACCAAAGATTCTCAAAAGGTGGTCTATAGACCATTGATTAACTTCATTGCATTCATAATAAAGCAAGATCTTTTGTTGTTGTTGTTTCTGGAATTAGTTATTTCATTTCAGTGGAAATCAGAGGCTGTAGAACAGAAAACCTGGGTCTGAATCCTTCATTTTAGTCACCTATGGGACCTTGGGCAAATCACTTCCCTTCTCTAGGTATCACTTTCCTCATCTGAAATATGGCACCCTTCTAATCCTTATAGTCTATAGTCTATGACAACATTTATTTTTTAAAACCATTGTCTCATTAGTGTCTTATCAAAAGTAAACCCATTTCCCCAGCAATTCAGGGAAGCTTCCTCCACACACCTCTTTCCCCCACCCCCAGTCAATAGAAATGAGTGAATCAGGTGATCCAGGAATATTTGCCTCACCAAAACAGCCCAGTAACAAAGATTTGAAAGTTACTTTCCTACATAGAATTTTTTTCATATTGCTTTTGCTGGGCTCAGAAAAATCTTTTTGCTTTGTCCAGAAGTTGACATCTCAATATAATAAATTAAAAAAAGTAAGCTGATGACATTTTTTTTTCAGGGATGTTTAGTGTTAAAAAATAAATCATTGCTCCTCCTCCCTTTTAACAGTGATCATATTATATTGATTATCAATTAACTAACAAGCAGTTCTTAAGGGCCTTCTATGTTCCAGGCACTGTCCTAGGTGCTGGAGATACAAGCACAAAGAATGAAATTATTCTTACTCTCAAGGTGCTTTCATTCTTGTGAAGGAGACAGCAAGTAGATGTATAAACATTTAGAGACTAAATACAAATAAATGAAAAGCTGCTAAATACACAATGGTTTGGAGGGAGGGCACTAGCAGTTTCATGCAGAAGAGTCTTGAAGGAAGTTGACACAGTTTTAGCTGTGTTTATATGCATCAAAAACTGAATTTTCAAAAATGGATTTCCTAGTCATCTCTCCCAATATCCAATTAACTTAATTGTAAAATAATAATGCTTGATACTGATTAGATGGTGGGAAGACCATTGGATTTAGAATAATGAGAAGATCACTGATTTGGAATGAGAAGACATAGCTTTGAATTCTGATCCATTTAATTTCTGGGCCTCAGTTTCTTCTTATGTAAATGAGAAGACTGGACCTGATAACTTTTAAGGTCCTTCTGGTTCTCAGTCTAGAGAATACTTCAGTGTTTACAAAGTGTCTTGCAAGCATTATCTAATTTGAATATCACAAAAAACCCTGTGATGTATGTACTTAAGGTATTAATTACCCTCATTTTACTAATAAGGAAACTGAGACTTAAGTGACTTACTCATGGTCATATAACTCATAAATGTCAGAGGGGTCTAATCATGCTTCATGTGACCTTAGACAAGTCTCTTTAGGCTCTTTGGCCTCAGTTTCTTGAGCCGTAAAATGATGACCTTTGAGGGCCTTTCTAGCTCTAAATACATGATCCCATGAAATGGAATTTGAGCCTAGGTCTTTCTGACTCTCATTTCATCACACCTTTGGCCATGCATGGCTGCCTCTCTGGTAGACCATTGTTACACTGAACTAATTGGTCACCTTGGTCCAAAAAGATGGATTAGTTGTGCATTTAGAAATAGCTCTCATTAAACCCCAGGGAAGGGAAATGGGGAAAAACAACATTTGGCCCTTTGTCTGAGATGAATCACACTATCCTGCCACAAAGGCTTTCAAAAGAAATGGAATCTTGCTTTTTTATTAGCAGAACACGTTTCAAGGCAACATTGCTTGATCTCATGCTAAGTTTCTCTGATTTTCCTTTTAGCTGTGGTGGTGTTTGCTTTCGTCCTCTGTTGGCTGCCATTTCATGTGGGACGCTACTTATTCTCCAAATCCTTCGAGCCTGGCTCTTTGGAGATTGCAGTGATTAGCCAGTATTGCAACCTGTTCTCCTTTGTCCTCTTCTATCTTAGTGCAGCCATCAACCCCATCCTTTACAACATCATGTCCAAGAAATACCGCGTGGCTGTCCTCAGGCTCTGGGGACTTGGCCAGTTCTCCCAGAGGAAGTTGTCCACTCTGAAAGATGACAGTTCTCGGGCATGGACAGAACTGAGTATCAATACATGAGCAAAATAAATTCATGAGCAAACAGTCATGATCCTGATATGAAAGCCATAATGCAGTAGACCTTGGTAAGATGTTCAAAGATAGGTTTGGAAATAGGTAGGGAATCACCCTAGAAGATTTGTCCTTTTGCCATCTGGGATTCATGGGGTTGGGGGAAAGACTAGGAAAAAAGGTAAGGCTTTTGTTGTATGAAAAATTTGGCTTGATTGAACCACTCATCAGAGGGCTCTTATCTAACATTTCTGTTGTGTTCACTACCTGTGACTGTGTATTCACACATTGGTGCTGAACCAGAGAAAGGAGAAGGGAGCCTTGAATTAGGTTTGGAGCAGAGAAAGGCTTTCATGCTACTTTGTTTTGGGTGGCTAAATATGAAATTGGATGTGCTTTTTTACAGTGATGAAGAATATTCAGTGAAAAGGAACGTTAGTGATAAATATAAATACAGAAAGTATTCAAAACCAATCATCTCCACGTAGTCCTGAATATATGGAAAACAATTTTACCTTGGTTAAAATGCCTTGTAATTAACATTTTATGGAGCCACCTTTCATTACATAGCCAGCATACTGTGATCTTATAGTTAGTGCAGAATTCTGAGAATCATCTCCTCAGTGTCATTTTTTTAGATAACTTTTCTTACACTTGAGAGAAGAGACACTATGAGTATTTAAGAGATTTTATTGTTTTCATGGTATTTAATTATTTGCTCCAATACTCAATCAATGAAACTGGAAAGCATTTTCAAATGCTTTATTCAGCTTAACAATCAAAGAGAGGTTGCAGATAAGATTTGCATGTGGGGACCCATAAAGCTCTGGAATGAACACAGAAGTTAGGATGCTTCTGGTGAAACTGATCTAGTAGAAATTCACAAGTGACTTATACCATAAAGAAAGAAATCTCATGCAATTGGAAAAGATGTTTTTATTTGAATGAATACAAAAACATTAAATTCTAATAATTATCGACTCAGACTTTTGTCAGCTAGTCTCCATTGGTTTCAAAATATACATATCCCATGTCGCTTTGGTACTACTTATGTGATCTTGGACAAGTCACTTGGCCTCAGTTTCCTCATCTGTAGTATGATGGAGTTGGACTAGATGACCTTTGAGGTTTCTTCCAGCTCTAAATCTGTGATCCTATGATCGTATCACACCATTTTTACTTTTTGACCAACGACAAAATGTCAACAAAATGTATGGCAAATGTAGCGGGTTTAAATGGATTTCTATTTCCCTTTTCTATTTCTGTACATTTTCAAATATCCCAAGTCTCCTTTTATACGTACATTTTGTGATATATACATTATATATTGGTCAGTCAAAAAGTTATTTTGCCTAATCCTCACTGAATGATCAGAGAACTAGCTTTGCGACCAAGAAGATCTGTAGTCATCTCCCACTTCTGACATACATACTGGCTCTGTGACCCTCAGCAAGTCACCAGTCTACATTAATAAAGGGAATTTTTTTCACCTAGGAGTTCCCTATTGCAATGAAATCACTGGTATTGTCACTATCCCTATTGCTAATCCTGCATGACATTAAAATATTCCATACTGTTTGTTCCCTGGGTCATCGTATATGCCATTTTGATAGAACTGGCAGGTCAGTTCCATATGGGTAGATCCAACTTCTCAATGAAATGACAAATTGTTTCATTTAAATTGCTAGATTCAGGGGCAGCTAGGTGGTGCAGTGCATAAAGCACCAGCCCTGAAGTCAGGAGGACCTGAGTTCAAATCTGGCCTCAGACCAAACACTTGATGCTTACTAGCTGTGTGACACTGGGTAAGTCATTTAACCCCAATTGCCTAAAAAAAAAAAAAAAGTAAATTGCTAGATTCACTGAAGGCTACATCTTTGTGGAGAATGTTTCAAAAGTCCAGCATAGCATTAGGAAGGAAATCATTGGTTAGATGATCATTATTTTAAATTCATAACTTTTGCAAAGTGAAGACAGTTAATTTCTGGGAGTCCATTTGTCTCTTTAGAGCAAGAGTTCTTTACCTGGGATCTATGAATTTTTTTTCAACCAAAGACAAGGTTTATTAAAGATCTGCCATATTAGCTAGTCTCTTAAGGAATCTGAGCATCTGTGAGCTATTGGCCGATCTATGAACTTTTAAAAAAATGTATTTTGATAGCTGTACTTTAATATAACTGCTTTCCTTTGTAATCCCGTGTATTTTATCATATGAATTTAAAAACGTAATTCTAGGTCCAAAAGTTGATGGTCTATGTGTCCAAAGATGGCCAAAGGTATTCGTGTTACAAAAAGGTTAAGAGCCCCTACTTTAGAAAGGTATAACAAGTCCTTAGGCCAGTTGGAGACTCGTGCCTTGTAGCATCCTTGTGGCTTGAAGTACAGCCCCTAAAGTATGAGAGGTGGGATCTACGAAGACAAATAAACTCTGTATTTCCACAAAGATGACTTATCCAACAAATCTCTTCTTCATTGCTTCATTGAACTTAAAGGATTTTCAAAATAACGGGCCACCTGGCTGAAATTTAATGTTTTGTCCTGACTTATCTCAGACGGCTTTGTATGTGTGTAGTATACATACCTGGCCTCTTTTACTTCTAGGGGACTGACTTGTTTACACAATGAGATTATCAGATTAGACAGAGATGGTATTTCATTAACTGGAAACAAGTAACTGAAGTTATTTTAGAGAAAGCTACCTCTGATTTTGGCTGATAACATGGGCTCTTTTAGGACTTCTGGTTGGGTTTTTATTTTCTTTTTTAGGCTGTTTTGTAGTTTCTTTCTATCAGAACACATTGTAAAGAAAGATCCCAGGAAAGAATAAATTGGACACAAAGACAAAATGAAACAGTCCTTGTCTTCAGGGAGCTTACGTCCTATCAGAAGAGATAAGATGTACACAAAAAATATATACATATATACATACGTACATACATACACACACATATGTGTGTGTGTGTGTAGCCATAAGAATATTCTGTATAAATGCTTATGATTATTTCTACTAGAAGACATCCTCTTCTCCCTTCTCCCCCAGAACTCAATGAGTAAAACTACTTAGAAAAAATTTACGGGGCTGGGCAGGGTAGCACATGCCTATAATTCCAGCCAGCAGGGAGGCCGAGGCAGGTGGATCTCTTGAGTTGGGAACTCTGAGCTGTGAGTGTGGTAGGTTAGGCTGATTAGGTATCTGAAAGAAAGGGAAAGAGAGAGGAGGGAGGGGGAAAAGGGAGGGGAAGGCAGGGAAGGAGAGGGAAGGGAAGGGGAAGGATAGGAGAAGGGAGGGGAAAGAGAAGGGAGGGGGAAGGAGGAGTGAAGATGGAGGGGAGGGAAAGAGGGAAAATAGATTTAGTGGACACATCTGGTTGGTTTAAAAAGCAGAAACTTTTTTTATCTATATACTTTGTAACATTTGAATAGCTGTTTGGTTGTATTCCTGAAAGCTCGGTTTCTCTGCTCTGCTCTGTTCTAGTGCTGTCTAGCATGGGCTATGCCTTGTAACCTTGTGCCTAGGATGTGGTGAGAGTCCCTCTTGTGCTTAATAGACCATAAATCCACGACCACAAATGGGCTTGAGGAATACTCCAGCTAAAGAGTCTTTTCATTTCGTTATTTATGTCAATGTTGCACACTAGGTCACAGGACTGCTCAAATACCTGTCCTGTCAAAACAGATACAACTTTCCCCTTCCTTTCTGTCTCCTTTGTCAAATAATTCTTCAATAAACATCTGCAAACAGAGATGCAGTCTACGGCTCATTTAATTAATTCACTGCTCTTAACTATGGATCTGGGAGACTCCTGCATCTCTTCCCATGGACCCAGCTTCTGGTGAATTTTGAAATCTGTGTCACACTGTGGCATAGACTTGTTGGACAATATTTCCTTTTCTTGATGTCTCTTGTTAAATAAAGAATTTGAAATTCCTGTAAATGGCAGACATCATAGCCATCGAGGCTGGGGATACACCCAGGGGAGTGTGGTGATTACTGGGTTCAGCCAGAAGTGAGTTTTCCTTCTGATCTCCTCATTGTTTGAATCATTCATATCTAATTATGAGCATCAATATCATTAGTCAGATTCCATATGATTCTCTGTCTCATACCCTACATTCCAGGAGCAACTACCTAACCTCTTCATCAGTGTGATATGATGGAAAGAGAACCTGGTCTGTCATTAGATGACATTGCCATCAGTGCTCAGTAGCTGTGTGATTTTTTTTAATCAATTATCTGTCTTCTGTGGGCCTTAGTTCACTTATTTCTAAAAGGAGGGATTTGAACTAGATGTCTTCTGAGGATCCTTATAACTCAAAATCTATAAGCCTATGAATTTCTCTAGAACTCAGTTTCTTCATCTGTAAAGTGAAATAGTATAAAATAAATTTAGACTAAGTGACTTTGGGGTTTCCAAAGCTTCAAATTTATGCTCCTATCAATCAATCAACAAGAATTTATTAAGTATGGGTTACGTGCCAGGCACTGTGTTAGGTGTTGGAGGTACAAAGACAAAAGAGAAACAGTTACTGCCTTCAAGGAGCAGACCTTCATACAGGGGAGAAAACATGTATAAAAGTAGATGCATATAAGATACATGTCAGAAGGCAGTTCTTAGATTTGTAGATCATAAATTTAGAGCTGGAAGGAACTTGGAAGTCATAGAATCCAACCCTCTCATGTTATAGATGAGGAAATGGAGGCCCAGAGAGTTTGGACCTTGCCCAAAGTCACACAGATAACAAGTATCTGAGGTGCTGTTCAAACATAGGTCTCCTTGACTTCAAAACGAGGACTCTACTATACTATGATGCCTTGGATGCATTTGGAGAGCTGAGTTCAAATCTCTTTGGACATATATGTATTGTATGACTCTTCACAAGTCACTTAACATTAGTACTCTAGCAGATATCTCACTTTCAGTCAATCAGTTGCAGAGAAGTAACCAAACTGAATTTTTAGGAGTTTTGTCATCTAGTATTCCCTATGCCAACATCATTACACGTCCATT